TGATACCAAAGCCGTAATCCCATCTTAAATTTGAAGAGCCACTTTTTTATTTAGTGTGTAATTGGCAGGGGCGTGGAAGTTACATGACGTGGAGGAAAAGCTTAAATCTTAAGCTTTTAAATTTTAAATCTTAAAAGTTTAAATCTTGAATTTTAAGAGCCACTCTTTAATTAGTGTGTAATTGGCAGGGGCGTGGAAGTTACATGATGCGGAGGAAAAGCCCTGTGAATAATTGCCGTAGAGACAAATGGCAAAATAAGTTGTTTATTTTAACAGTTCTTGTTGGCAAGAAGCCTGAGCTGGGAGTTGGAAAGCTGCTCGTGTTTGTGCTCGCTGTTAGATCTCACAAGATAAGCAGGGCCGGGGTGGATGGGTCTGGCGGTGCCAGCGTGGAGGCAGTGGCACATGAGAAAGAACCAAATCCGGTGCCCTGGGGGGTGTCAGGGGCGTGGGGGGAACACGGCCTCGGGCCCTGCCATGGGTGCAGAATTCATCGGCGCCAACAGCGAGGTCGCTGTGCCAGGCGCAGCGCCCTGCCAGCCCCTCAGCACTTGTGTTCTGGCTCACAGAGACCAGAGATAGCTTCTGCCCTGCTCCACTGCTGCTGGGCCAGCCCCTCGCTGGCCTGGGGCTGGGGGCACTCGGAAGTGCCTCTGCAGCCCTCCGCCATGGAAGGAGGGGTGTGAGCAGACAGCTCCCCTTTCCGACCCGCCACAAAGCCGAGTCGGGAAGCGTTCTGTCCCCCCTCCTGCGCTGCTCATCTCGCCTTCGCTCGTTGGGTGGGATTTGCTGGTAGAACAGGAGATGTCCGCCAGCGTGGTGGGACCACTGCAAGGACGGTGGGGCAGCTACTGAAAATCCAGACTGAGTGAAGGTGGAGGCAATAGTGAAATGTGTGGCATGTTAGAAAGACTTGTCTTGTGTGAAGAAAAAAAAAAAATCCCAACCTAAACCAAAATTAAAACGGAGAAACCAAGACAAACCCTAAAGCCAGCGAACAGAAGAGACCTGCTTGGTGGGTGTAGCTCACCTGCAGCCTTCTGCTGTGAAAGGAGAAAGAAGTTTAAGAAAACTCTCTAGATGCAAAGAATAGCCCTTTGGGGGCTCATAGCAGGGCCTAGCAAAAGGGGCTGGATGCGGTGGGGAAATTAGAATTTAGCTTGGGGCTTTGGGGAGCTCGTGGAGAAACCCCGCTCCCCCCGCGAGGCCATTGCTGCCGCCGCTCTGCTGGGGCTGCCAGGGGTCCTGCAGTCCCAGCACAGGGTCTCCGGGCCGTGGTGGCATCAGGGTGGTGTTCCTGGGGACACGGACCACAGCTGCCCCGTTGGATGTCCCCTCGCTCTGTCCCGCCCCGTCCCCAGGGCCCCCCTGCAGCTGGGGAACGGTGGGTTTACCTGCTGCTCAGAAATGTTGTTCTCCTCTCTTCTGCCCACCTATGAGGAGCTTGTCGACGCCTGAGCTGCTCCACGCCGTGTCGGGGCACTTCAGATTAGCCAAACCCAACTCTGTCTTTCTGGACTGTTATCAATTGAAAGCACTGTGCTGAGATCTGCAGAGAGGCATAGGCGTACAGACTGAAAAACAGGGAGGAAGGAGCCAAGTGCGACTCTCTCTGCAAACTGACACCTCTGACACGCTGCGCTGCTGCACTATAGGATGTCGTAACGGGTTTTTGTGGGACCTTGGGGTTTTCGAGGAGGTTGGTTTTAGCCTGGGGGGGGTCCCAGAGGCCGGGCGTGTAGCTGGTGGTGGGTAGTGCCCTTACCTGCCCAAGGACCTGGCTGGGAGAAAGCAAACAGTATTCCAGGTGAGGGCTGCAAATATGTATTTATAATGATTTTTAATTATATTATGACTTTTTAATTATATTATGACTTGACACTGTGTCAGCGTTTGCACAGGACCTGGGGTGACATCTCTTTGGATGAAGAGTTAGAATGTACCCTCAGCAAGTTTGCTGACAACACCAAACTGGGAGGTGTGGTAGATACACCAGCAGGCTGTGCTGCCATTCAGCGTGACCTGGATAGGCTGGAAAGCTGGGCAGAGAGGAACCTGATGAGGTTCAACAAAGGCAAATGCAGGGTCCTGCACCTGGGGAGGAACAACCTCATGCACCAGTACAGGCTTG